ACCTTGATTTGTGTTTGAATTTCATTTCTTTTTCACTGGTTCAATGTGCCAACTTCCAGCTACATGCTGCCTATAATTGCTTTTTCATATGTTTGAATCAGGTTTCGTAGGGCTTCATGTTTGCCGAAAAATCGTGAAACCTCGATTTTCAGCAGTTTTTGAAAAGTGCTTAGATTTTTTGTACCACGTTATCAAAAATCAAACGGTTTGCGCAGACTTGTAGCTTACATCAAGATCTACATGATGCCACAAAATGAGATTGCTACATAGAATAGGAAAAAAGTTACGGGAAAAGTTGCAAAACTTATGTGCCAACCTAATATATACAGCGACCGCCAAAAAATTGCGGCCAAGCCGCCTTCCTTTTTTCATCTCTCATTTTCGGATGGAAAACGAAGGTGAGAAACTGAATGGATTGCATGGGGTGATAGAGCTCTCCAAGAGCTACAACACACACATTGCGCTTTCGGGACATGTATTCTAAAAACTTCAAAGAAAATTTTCTACAAGAAGTCCGAAAATGGCCGCGTCATAATGTCGCGGACAATAATTCTTCGAACGCAAAAATTTCCTTTTAGGTCTTTTTTTGAAGCAAAAACAAAAGTTTTCCGGGCAGGTAAGCATACTATATTGTAGAACTCATCGAGAACAATAGTAGAGTAGTGGTTACTTCCAAAAAAACCCCAAGCTTGAATCTTATTTTGCTTCTTTTCAAAAAATAACTTCTAATTCCCTGCTTCAAGCCAAATTTCTTAACAGGAAACCCATTCAAGACACAACAAAGCTATTCGGATAAAATGGATGCCCTTTGCCATCTTCTATGCATGGACGTGTGATGGTAAGTTTCTTTGCTGAAAATGGCTTTTGACAGTGGTGCACATGACCCCACCTGCACCTCACCACTGACCTGTACCGTTTTGCAGGCTTGTAGCTCAGCCGTCGGACAATATACGAGTTGTACTTGAGCTCATTCAAAAGAGCGTGACTTCTTCGACACGATGGTATGCAAAATAGTTGGGTATGAGAAACAGCGGAGAATTGGCGAATGGGGTGAAAGTTGGAGGCGTTAGAGGTGATTGGAGTGGAGACTCTTATCAACACTAGAACAGTCTTAGAGCTTCGAAATGGATCTAATACAAGAACATTGACAGTTTTAAACTTCTTGAATGGAACTTGTGGCGAAAGAAGCTCTGTTCAACTTTAGCTGGTTCTTAGCTTACCACTGAGGCTGCCCTTTTTCATCCCATCCGCCCAATCTCCGCTGTTTCTCACACCCAAATATTTTGCGTACCATCGTGTCGAAGAAGTCACGCTCTTTCGAATGAGCTTAAGTACAGCTCGTATATTGTCCGACGGCTGAGCTACAAGCCTGCAAAACGGTACAGGTCAGTGGTGAGGTGCAGGTGGGGTCATGTGCACGCACTGTCAAAAGCCATTTTCAGCAAAGAAACTCACCATCACAATTAGCAAGAACAGTAGTACTTGATGCATAGAAGATGGTAAAGGGCATCCGTTTTATCCGAATAGCTTTGTTGGGATGTCTTGAATGGGTTTCCTGTTAAGAAATTTGGCTTGAAGCAGGGAATTAGTTTTTTGAAAAGAAGCAAAATAAGATTCAAGCTTGGGTTTTTTGGAAGTAACCACTACTCTACTATTGTTCTCGATGAGTTCTACAATATAGTATGCTTACCTGTCCGGAAAACTTTTGTTTTTGCTTCAAAAAAAGACCTAAAAGAAAATTTTTGCGTTCGAAGAATTAATGTCCGCGACATTATGACGCGGCCATTTTCGGACTTCTTGTAGAAAATTTTCTTTGAAGTTTTTAGAATACATGTCCCGAAAGCGCAATGTGTGTGTGTTGTAGCTCTTGGAGAGCTCTATCACCCCATGCAATCCATTCAGTTTCTCACCTTTGTTTTCCATCCGAAAATGAGAGATGAAAAAAGGAAGGCGGTTTGGCCGCAATTTTTTGGCGGTCACTGTATGTGTCGTTTGTAGAATTCTGGGAAGATTGTAAATTTGATCCTATCAAAGCGATTCCTAGTTTATTTATCAACTTTCGCATATAAAATTTGTTGCATATCAGTCCATCATTGCTGGTGTTATCTGATGGACTTATTACGAAATCATTCTTAGCTCTTTGAAGTGCTTAAAAATTGGAGATATAAATAAATTTACTTTATGATCTTGATTCGTAAAAAAGTGATTCCATTTTGTGAAAGATTTTTCCTGACTTTGTTCCGGAATTTCTCTATAATGAGTTTTTCGTTATCTAATTTGTATTAAGTAATTATCCATCATTTCTACAGTTGTATGAATCCGTTTAAGCACCTCTATTTTATTGATGCTTTGTTGTACTCTATATTTAGTGCCTTTATCCATTATAGATTTCAAATGTTGACCTTTGATCATATTCAATTTCCCAATAATAATGTGTCCATGGTTAGTATCAATGAATTTTTCATATTATTTTGTTTCAATTAGCAAGAACAGTAGTACTTGAATATTTTTTGTGATATTCGCTCTATAGACTTGTGTACTAGTCTGCAAAGGATTGTATTCAACGATAGTGTTTTTAAAGTACAAGATTGGTGTAAAAGTAATGCGCGTTTTTTCTTACAGGACAGCTTTTATCCATCAAACCTCCTTCTTTGGAAAATACTTAACATGCCATCAAGAAGCACTTTTTATGCTCTATCCAATGGTTACTGAAACGAACTTCTAGTCTCATTCGTTAAAAACTCGCAAGACTTCACAGAACCGCACTCGAAATCAGATCTTTATTGCATTTACTTTTCTAGTCAGTTTTCAAGCGCGAATGGAGGCATTTTTTGAAAGTTCGGCTACTATATGTAACAGAAATTGTCTACAAAATGCACCCTTTCTTGACTTTCTTGATGCAAAAATGATGGCCGTTTTGCGAGTTTTCACTTCAAAGTGCTATGATTTTCCAAAGAAAAGAAAAAAAAAGATGGAAAATCCACAGTTGATTGCGCTGAAGACCTTCGAAGCAGCAATCCTTTTGCAATAGAGCGCACATTCATCTACACTCACATCACAAAGGCAGGAAAATATGGACTGAAAAACAAAAACTCTTTCTTCCAAATCCCATTTTTGACCATGTCAAACTTGGTTAAATGGCTAGTTCAAAAGTTGAGTTGTCTATCAAGTAGCCGCAAGCCAGAGGACAAGAGGAAATGAAAAGAGCTCAAACAGAGAAGATTCGCAAGAAGGAAAAATTTAAAATCCCAAGTTCTCAGTTTTTCCAGCCTTTTTTCAGTTTGTCTCATAGTCCCGAGTTATAGAATTTTGTGATTTGCTGGTCACTTAACAGCTGAAATTTTTGTAAAAAGGCCAACAGGATGCTCTACGCTTGCGCTTACGAAAACGAGCAGAACCTTGGCGATTGCTTTCTTCAAAAGAATGTTATGGATTAGAATGAACGCAACGGCTACTCATGTTAAGGCGCTGAATGTAGATAGTTTCAAAGAAAATATTCAAGTGTACGTAAAATAGACAATTTCTTTCACATAAAGTAGCCAAGTTCCCAAAGAAGCGCCATTTATTCGCATTGGGATTCTGGTCAGTCTGATTCCGGATGTAGTTATTTAAAGCTCTGGGAAGCCCTCTTCAATTACCATTAGATAGAGCATGAAAAGAACTCCTCAGCGGAGATATGCGTTTCTTTTGAAAAGAAAATTATGATTGAGAATCACCATCGAGAAGGGTCCGTGGAATTTTGAAAATTGCTGTCATGAGTTTAAAAAATGTGCAAGTGACTTGTTTAAATTGGTAAATAATTAGATATAGACTGTTAACTGACAATGAACGTTGCAACTTCTTCCATAATTTTCTCTTTCTTGGGTATGGTACAATCAAACTTTCGTGATGTATACACAATGTGTGAGCTACAGATATACAATACGTGCCCCAAACTCTGGCATCGCGTGTAGAAGTTACGGTAGACCTACGGTAAAATTATAAAAAATAACGAGACGTTAACGTTTTAGATCGTCACAATTTCAGCTGAAACTTTTTCTAACAAGGGAAGGATAGTTGGATGCCGCGGCCATTCCTAATGATTTGTATACCAAAAAATGCGCCTTCGAATGCAGATTCTGAATCTGTGCTCGAAATCTGCGAAACGATCTTTTGAAGAAAGTTATGAACTTTTTTCCTTGAAAATTTAGCCTACTTTTGGATAGTAAAAATCACCAGATTTGATCTAGCGCACCGTTTGATGCTACTGAAGAAAATTTTAGACGTAGTAATATTTATTTAGACTATCTGGATCATATTCAGCATTTGGAAAGGAGAGAAAATTTTTTTATTGATGATTTTGACCCTCCGCAGGAACGCAATTTTTTTAATGAAAAGAAATCATAACTCCATTCAGATTATCGTTTCGCAGATATGAAAGACAGTCTACGAACCAGCATTCAAAAGCGCGTTTTTTGGTATACAAATCATTATGAATGGCTACGGCATCCAAGTATCCTTCCCCTGTAAGAGGAAGAGAGGTAGCTCGACACGCTAATCACAAAAATCATACTCTGCACGAAAATGCTTTTTCTGAAGTTACAAAAAAGTCTCAAATTGACGGCAAATGAGTGTGATAATCTGTCCAGCGTGTAGAAATCCCCATGATGCAAAGTCTCGATCTGAGATTTCACTCACAACTTCTCATCGGATGCGTATATTCCCTATTCCAAGGTACTGCAGAGGATCAATAACTCAAAATAAAGGGCTAAGGCTGTTTTCATGTCCTTGTGTGTTTTTGTATGTGTCCGAGTACAGGGTTTATCAGTTGCAGAGTTGGGTGCACCAGCATCACAGCTCCAGTGTGGCCGCCTCGTCTGGACTCTGCATCTCTTGCAAACGTACAATCTAATCATTTTCCCAAACTCAAATAGCCTTTGAAGCTGATTTTTTGATTTCGCCGGAGCGCTCCAATATCAGTAAGATTAACGGCAAATGCTTTTATTCAATCGACATCAACTACTACTTCTGCGAGACGGTCACTGCTGATAATCACCAAAAAATTTTCGCCGTAGCAGTTACTCTTCCTTGATTGACCATATGTAAGAATGCTTCTCGGAACTTTTCGGAAAACATATTGTATAGGATAGGGTTTACGGCACAATTCAAATAGTAGCAACATGCTAAATAATTGTATGACATCCGTAAGTTTGCTTTAGGCTGATTACCTGATGTGCTGATAATGACTTCCCATACAGACTCCTCTGATTCCACAATAAAAAAGGCAGTAATCAATTGCACTATATGATGAGGTGACCAGCAAATCAGAAAGGAAATAACCACAGCTACTGAAAAAGTGGGTGCCGTTAAGCAGGGATTAGCCAGGTGATTACAGAGCAAACCGCATATCGTTTCTGGCGTGAAAAGCATAAAGGATATCGTTTTTGCGGAGTTGGGGCGGAGGCCCGGATAAAATGCATAACCCAGCTTGGTATGGTGTATGTGAGAAGACCGCCACCAACTGCTTCGTGCAAAGTCGGAGCTTCGGGTTGAGCCAGACTTCGCGGGGAAGCGGCGTACGCGGCTTACGCAGCGTACGCTCGGTATATTTCATCATAGGAGCGTACGCGGCGAACGCTGCGTACGTCGCGTACGCCCAACCCTTCGGAGGAGCGTATAAAAGTTTTTAAGGAACTTTTTGATCACGCAATTCACTAAAACTCAGCTGTATGCAGACTGACCAAGAAAAATGTCGAAGAGTCGGCTAACTCTACGCCCATTAGACCAACAAATTTCAGTTCTCCTCCTTATAAGCAAAACTTATCCCAATGCTATTGTCCTATAATTCATCCCTTCCCCCTCCACACAATCGCATACCCCCTCTTCTGATCCACCTCCTCACATTGTAGAGACGGCGCAAGTGCTCAGCACAGCTCTACCAATCCCAATCTCTGCAAAAAAAACAATTTACCGCTCGCATACACTCTTCGTAAAAGCACGCAAAAATGCGCTTCGACATAAACAAAGTACTTTTATAACAAAGAGAAAAACGAACGATACCAAAATTGGTGCATATATGCGCAACAGGGATTTGATGTATGAAAATTTATAGAAAAGTAGTAAAGTAGATTTAGGGGAACTTTAATCTAGAAACTAAAACTATTAGTTTTTTGTTTTGAAAACAAAAATTAAGAATATGAAATAGGTGTCAAACTTTTTCCGAGTCATGTGGTGATTGAGCCACCCTCAGAGCAGAATTCATATAATTCCTTCTCTTCACGTAAGTTTTTTCTTAGTTTTCAAAATAGCTTCAATCCGCATCTATAACACCACAAACTAATTCTAACCTTCCCGAACCCCGTCCTCCTAGCCAGGTTAAACTATCTTTAAATTCTCCTGCTTTAAGTGTGCGGTAATGCGCACTGGACAAAGCATGCCGACACTGCCAGCCAATCCCTTGTCATCAAACATTTGCGCGATTTGTTACTGCCCATGATTCATGACTTTGAACACTTTGGGTAAGCAACAGTTGGCAGGCACTGCTGACAGAAATTATGCGCAAATGATTAAATGGATATTTACCGTAATGCGGCAATAAAACTTACTCACCAAGGAGTCTATTCGTCTTCAAGGGAGCTTTTCTAGAACATTCCGTTTGAATAGTACAAGTTGTTGGGCTTGCAAAGGCCGCAATTTGGAAGCACATGGTTGCAAGCATTACTACTACAAATCACACTGCCACGAGAACTTTCTTGTAAAAAATCGAAGAACTAACCTGGAATCAAATAGGAAAGGATAAATATTATAATCGTCGTGCATTCGATAAACTTTGACACAGATCCAACACACTTTTCGGTCGTCTTATTTTCGCTAATCTGAAACAGTGATAAACTAAGATTATAAAGTTCTTATGAGCCATATTTGTCATTTATGGCAAGACTGCTCACGAATGGCTCAAGTGCCTAGCAATAGATACGATAGATCTTTTAGCTGAAATTTTTTTGATGTCGCAGACTATGCTTGTGCAGTCACCAAAACTTTGAGACTACACCCTCTCCAGATGACAGCGTCACAATGTAGCAGTTAAATCCGCGTTTCGGTTGCGACGCGTTATCCTTTGGCTATTTCAACATTGTCGGTCATTTCCCAGAAATACATTACGAAAACAGTTATTGTACTTATGGAGGTCAAATCATCACCTTCGTCCTAGCACTTAACCGGATGAACCAGACACCAAGGAATACTGGAATGATATCCACGAAAGTCCCCGCGAAATGGGCTTTTTGTGCGAATAAAATGGACTTAGTCCATGAGGTGCGATAAGATATCGCATTCGCGAATCCATTCATTCCATACAGAACTACTTCAGCAAACCCTTCTCCAACTTGTCTCAACTTGTTTGCTCACACTTGCAAACTCATTTCTACCAAGTGGTCGGTATCTAACCAGGCTGTTCTAATATTGCAATTCAGTCACGTGAAATTTCTATGCTTTCCCACTTCGTTACACTTTACAATATGCACTTTTTACTGATGAATATACGTCTAAATTACCTCCAATGATAAAATTCATAAAGTATCCATGCCTTCGTTCCTAGAGACTTCTATGCATCTGCATTAAATCAAATCCCATGTTAAGCTCCCTGCGGAAAGCAAACATTGGCTAGACGTGCACTGCAATCTGTAAATCAAAATGCTTATCTTATAGGAAACCTACAATTAGAACCCAAAGGATTTTTTAGTCGGAAAAACTACTAATTTTCTACTTTAGCTCTTCTTTGTCTCTCAGCGCTAATGTTTATATCTCTAAGTAGTTGAACGTATAGACTATTGCTAGTAGGATATTTCACAGAATTTTTCTTGGTAGCTAGCGCCATTTCAGTAATTCCTGCGACCAAACTCAAAATCGCGTTTGAAATGCCGTCCTTGGGGTTCGGTTCTACGAGATTAGTCAAAAGATAGCTTCTGAGTGATTATATTGCAACGCAAATCTTTTCTATTTTTGAATAAAAATCATGAACTTAATTTTGGTTGATGATTTGAAGATTTAACAAACTCTATTTGATTACATAAAAATTTTCGCATGGACCTGATATTTGTAAGCACTTGAGTTTGTTAGCGAATATTGTGGTGAATTTGACCTTCTTCAATGGTTTTTATTGCGTTTCTATGAGTTTAGAAAGAAGCACTTATTTCAGACTTCATAAAAGACATGAAACTTATATCACTCACTTATTACCTTAGAATGGGCTAAAGAACACGTTCTCAAAAAATCGCCATCAAAAATATTCAAAAAGGTCAAAAATGGGCTCAGTCTCAGCTCACCTTGCTGCTGGGAGTAAAATGGGCTTTCAAGTCCATTTAAAATGAAGGTAAATCCCATTTTGCCCCATTCTAAATGGACTTTTCGCAAGCGAGAGCTCCAGTAGGGTTGAATCATTTCCATCACACCGCTTTGCCTCGTGGTTGCGATGACTTAAATAATTTTGGATAACGCTAACGAAAGTAGATTCCGACCAGTTTCTACCGCGAACGAATAAAATGGGGTTTGGATGTCCATTTTCCTCCATTATGGACTTTCGTGGATATCATTCCTGGAAAGTTCATTGTGGAAGCACAGCACACATGATATACAAACAATCACAAGCGGGAGAATGAAAAGGCTAGCACGAGTGAGACCAGAGCATGAAGTAAGGACTTTTCTCAGCACTCTCGGCTTCTTGTTTGAGTAGGGTGATAAATCGTCGGCGGTCGCTGTGCTGTGGACTCGTATGCTGTTCAATCAAAGTTACTTTTCCCACAGTAATATGTATCGTGATCTGATTAGCATGCTAAATGTATGAATTACAGTGTCTTGAATTATAGAGCAATATTACCGCGTATATGTAACAGCGTTATTTACTTAGACACTTAGATGATCTTTACGTGGAGTGCGGCGCAAGCGCAAAAGTTTCCATTTGTCCCTGTCCCTCGCTTTAAACATCCACGATCTTCTTGGCCGTCGTCGGTGGCTGCGTCCACGAGTTCCAGGGGCGAAAGTCGTATCCAGCTGATTTCTCAGCTGGTCCATCCGTTCCACGAACACGTCTGCCCATCTCGTCGGTGGTCTTCCTCGAGGACGTTTGGCTTCGCGAGGAATCCACTCCGATGTTCTTAGTGAGGCTCTGTTGGTATTCCGTAAAGCTTTCGACGTGGCTACGGTGTCGGCCCAAGTCTCAGCTGCGTAGCAGAGCGCTGCAAGAACGGTTAAGTCGAACAGGTGGTCACGAACTCCGGGTCCGTCAGTTAATCGGTGCTTCCAGAGGCCTGAAGGCGGCCCAGACTGCTCTTCTTCTCCTGTCAAGTTCTTCGCTCAAGTCGTTCTCCATGTTCATCGAACGTCCGAGATACACGTTGGGAAGTCTCTATGATAGGGGTGCCCTCCAATTCCATTTCTGCATATTCGCAAAGGGCGCTTTTCATAAACTGAGTCTTTTTACGATTTATCCTCAGTCTTACCTTCTTCCCTATTTTGCTCGAAAAGAGAGCGACGTCGTCCACAAAACGAAGGTTCGACAGCTCTCCCATCAACTCGTACGCTTCTTTCGTTCCAGTCCAGTGACTTAGTCCACTTGCAAGGTCGCGGTGAATAGCTTTGGCGAGATTGTATCGCCTTGTCGAGCCCCTATTCCGATTAGGATGGTCAGGGGTAGATGCAACAGCTGCATCGTCGTTGTACAATTCTTGAAGCAGTCGGGTACGTCCTCATGTAAGTCGGTCCACTCCTTGAGTTGTTTCAGACTGCCGCACTGACCGTAGCTGACTGCAGCAGACTGGCCGCACCCATCGCTGCATCCTTCCATGAAGGTGGACAGGATAAATAGTTGTAATCAATAAAAAATGTAAACATGTAAATGTAACAATGTAAACAATGTAAACAATCAACAACAATATATGCCTATACCCAAAAGACAACACGAGCGAGAGTAAAACAGGTATATGCAATAACAGGGGAATCAGAACAAATACAAGCATACCAAAGAAAAATTGATTTGATTGAGATTCCCCTCAATCAACTTTTCTGACAATACGAGTAATGTCACCTGCACCAAGTATGAAATCGCAAGCCATCAAACGTCATCAAGGAAATTTCATTGCAATGCCTCAACAATTTTAAAATCTGGGAGAGAAAAGAAATGCGATGGACATATTGACCTTCTCTTGAAAAAATAAAGAGCCAGATTGTCAGCAATGAACTATTAGGTTGGTGCAAAAATAATGTCCGTTTTGCATAGTTTTACTTTGAAAAGCTATAAATTTGTTCAGTCTTCATATTTTTGAATGCAGTCAAAACATCAAAATTAGTAAACCTTCCGCAACCTAACGCGCATCTGCTAATATTGATATCGCAAACGGGTAGAAAACTATGCGTCAAAAAAGCGAAAGTCTTCCTTTTGAAAACCTCGTCTTCGAGAGACCACAACTCCCTTCAAGTTTTGTTTCTATGGCTGGTAATTAGCTTAGTGTAGACGCAAGCCGGTAGTATACGTTTGTTTAGAAAAAAAACTTCAACGAAGGAGATCTGTGAAGAAAAAGCAGGACTGTTCATTTTTTCGAGCCTGTTTGCGTAGGCCAGAAAGTCCCAAACTATGGAAATTTGACATCCTTCATACACTGAAGAGCTAAGCTTTTCTGCAAAAATTGTAGTAAAGATGTCCTGACCTCAAACATACAGAAATGAGCGAAAGTCCGGCGATTGCCCTAATGATGAGAAACTTTGGACCCAAATGCCAGCAGCGAGTATCTATTTCGGGGCGTTGATTTCCCGGTTCAGATATTTTTGAAAAATGTATTCAAGCATGCCATGAGTAAACAATATTTATCCCCCACAGATGTTATGTTTTCAAAAGAATCGTTTATTTGCGCTTGAGTTGTGGCCAAGGAGTTAAAGCAACGAATTTATTTTGAGTGCAGCTGTGTGAGATGGTAATGAAATTCTCACACATAAGTTATAAGCTTAATTTCACCACTTTCAAAAAGTACATGGAAAAAGTTTCCAATGATATGCAGAATCCATATCAAAAAAGAAATCCTGAAGGAAAAAAGTTGTTCGGAAAATACGCCTAGAAAAACAGACAATATTTTTGCACCAATCTAGTAGAATGTTTATCTGCAGCGCTCATTTGGTTCCAGATCCTTAAGACCAATATTTCACACCTCAGACAATTTTTACTGCAGATTATGGAAGTCCCAGATGGATTTTTAATTCTATTCACCTCGATTTCAGCTGACACAACATACATCCTGAATCCAGTAACGACTGACAACGCGAAATTGCTAATAGCAGCAAGAGCACAACAAAAAGTTCTCAATTTCAACTTCATTCGTAAAGGATGACTAAAAAATAAAATTATAAAATTCATCACAACCTCCAGTCTTCTTAACTCCACGACTCACCGCACAGCCAACCACCGCTCTGCTGTAAAAGCGCAGATAGTCATTACTGATGTAGAACCATATGCTTCTCTAACGTAAAACCAGAACTTGCATAATAACTTGCTGCTGGTGAAGCAGCTGATGAGATGATACATTTCTAATGGGCAACCTATAACAATACCAAAACATTTTGGAAGAAAGTCCTTTTTAAGAATTTCATACCTAGAAAAAGTAGGAGCATGTCCGAGCAAGCAAGAACTAACAAAAAATAGTTAGGGCGTGTGTGCAGGGTTTTTGTTCGAATGATAACTACACAAGTGCATATGTTGCCAGCACCGCCTATCACGAAGATTATAGCAAGAATAACAATAGTGGGAATCAGTACAGCCTTCTGAAAGAAGTTTGAGTAGACAAAAAATTGCTTCCGTTATTTAATGTAAATTTGTGAGAGCTTTCACATTAATTTTAGAACTTACAAAAATTTCTTCTGAGATGAGAGTCAAAAAGTTATTTTTAGATCAACAATAAAAAACTGATAGCCATCGCTTTTATTGTGCAAAGGGTGGAAACCACTATTGGAAATGAATGATGTTATCGTCGACTGCACAAAACCGCCCATATTTCTGTAGCCTGAACGACCGCGAGCGTATTTGCCGCGCGGCTAGATCACTGACCTATGGCTACTAATTTGTACTGGCGTTTGATGACTCATGCAGTCTTCGGACAGCTCGCCTCGCTCACGAACGTTTAGCCTACAACGATACGGGTGATTTCGTGCAGTAGAATTTACCTACGATCTTGCGAGCAACAAATGGTAGGAAACAGTGGTGCATCAATTTGACCAGGGAAGCCACACAATTACATTTCCACTTTTCATCGCTACTTTTTCCTAAAACCGGCGAATCCCTTATCAAATGAAGTGTCGTGGAACGCTCTTCTGAGTACTTCTCCAGGGCGAGCTTGGAGAAGGCAGAGCCTCAATAGATTGTAAGTGATTAGGGGGGATGTTTGCGGAAAAGACGCAGAGTCCAGCGCGGGAGTGGAGATTCTGGGACAAGCGACACTTCATTAGATAAGCCCTGTAAGTGCCTCCTCGCCAGCTTGAGCAAAATTGTCTTTGAAAAATGCTCTCAACACGGATCGAAAAGTTACCATTTGGTTCAATTGGCTTGGCTTCGGAAAGGCGGGGCTTCGTCACCCAGTTAAGACTAGGTAATGATCAGAGAGCACTCGCGGAGAGGCGGATGTGCGTCTGGGCGAGGGCGCGGGCGGCCTTCATTAGGTCACAAAGCCTCACCTTCCCGAAGCCAAGCCAGCCGCGAGACAAAATGGCGTGCTTTCGTTATACCATCTCAGACAATTGCATCGGAAAGTTCGCGGCCTCAAAGCGTGCTACATGGCGCGCCGCGGTCCTTAAAATTTCAGCCGCGCACGCCGCGGCCCATGTATATTTTACCGGGAACGCCGCGGCCAAAGTTAAAATTGGAAAGAGCTTATCGGGAAAGCCGCGGCCCAATCACCTCACTCGGCGTGCCGCGGGCCTTATCAAAGGCCGCACTTCTTACACGCTATAGCTCAAGGCAGAACCCGCGTGAGGTACGCCGCAGCGATGGGGCTACCCTAAGTGTTTGTGGGGCTGCCAATCGCTTCTCGGGTTGGGTTGTGTGACAGTTGAGTTTATATGCTCACGAAACAAACTTCAGCAATCGGTTGAGTGCCATTGACGATAGTAGATGATGTCGACAGATGAGCTAACAAGTTGCTCAATTTGTACTCAGTCGTTGTCATGAAAGACAGGCCAAAATTTTTTCACTCTTCCTAGGCCTCACAAGCATGCTAATCGGGTCAACTATCTGACGCTTACAGGATGCGCCGCGGTCACTTATCGGGTCCAATATCGGTCTATACCGGGCAGCTCGCGGCATGGATGATTGGTGGCCGAGTAAGCACCCACGACTTCCCGATGCAATTGTCTGAGCATGTGGTACACGACTGAGATATTCATTATCTTTCTCATATAAATAAATCTGCGTAAATTGGGTAGGTAGAAAATTCTACAAAGATCAGGCTGTACCGTGGTTGCAAAAAGATTGATGATCTTGACGAGGACGAAAGAATGAAATCTTATACTATATAAAGCTGAATGTCTGTTTGTATGTCTGTCTGTATGTCTGCATGTATGTTCCGAATAGAAAATTCCATTTCCGAACCGATCGGGACCAAACTTGGCACACATACACTTCGGGCCCCGGCGGGTGTCATAGGCTACTTTTCGTATCGATCGATATCGATTTTATCGATTTCTTGCAAAATTTGAGCTACGGGGCTGGGAGTTGGCACAGGGGGGTAAGTGAGCATGGGGATTCCGAATACAATATTAGTTTTCAAAATCGTGCTTACTTTTATCGATTTTATCGATTTTTTGCAAAGTTTGAGCTACGGGGCTAGGATTTGGCACAGGGGGGTAATCGAGCATGCTGATCACCCCCGTGGGTGCTCGATTACCCCCCTGTGCCAACTCCCAGCCCCGTAACTCAAATTTTGCAAAAAACGATAAAATCGATATCGATCGATAACGAAAAGTGGACTGTGACACCCGCCGGGGCCCGAAGGGTATGTGTGCCAAGTTTGGTCCGGATCGGTTAAGAAATGGAATTTTCTATTCGGAACGAACGGCGGAGCCGGGTAAGCCAGCTAGTAACAACTAAGAAAGTTCGAACTGCAGGAACTCATTTCAGTTATTGAAATCGAAAAAAAAATAAAAAATATATTTGAAGACAGTTCATTTTCTGATGATAGATTTGAAATTCTTCTGCGATTTCTAAGTGTTTGGCATAACTCACTTGTGCACATAGGTGCGATAAGGGGAGCCGGGCTCTCCCCAGGTGAAGGGGGTCTCGGCTGTTCCCGACCTTCTAGGGTGAAGGGGGTATGTGAGTCTAGAGGGTGGGTGGAAGAGAGAAAAGGTAAAAAAGCGTGATATGAAGAGCTCTGATTTGTACCTTATTTAGGCAAAAATTGAAAAAAAAATTTAAAAATTTTCAAAAGAAATTAAAAAATTTTAAAAAAATTGATTATGAAGATCTGTGCTCCTGTTTCACTGCATCAACAAAAAACGAAAGCAATAATGTTTATCCCAAAAGATGTACAAGTTAGGAAGGACTTCATTTCCTGCACATCATCATCAACAATATCACTATCGCTAACGTCAGAGACAACAAGTTCGCTGCCTGAAAAATCTTCTTCTTCCTTCAAAAGGTCATCGGAGTGGAAGTAGAATTGCGTGCAAAAGCGATCTGAGTCGAAAATGATTGAAACTTTCTTCTTCTTTTAAGCGCTTCTGTGATTTTTTTCCTGGCCCTCTGGTAGCACCAGGAAGTCAGCAGGTAGGTGACCAGTTTCTTTATACCTTCTTTTAGGATATCTCAAAAAGTCATACGGTAACAGCCTGTCTGGACCACTTATACCAATCCTTTAAATGAAGTTTTTAGATAACAATGTGTTTAGTAGAAGGTTGAAAAATCTTAAGTATTTGCTTAGATGCTCTATCGTTGTACGACTTCTGCGTTGTGTTCTGATAACAGAGTAGATAGAAAATTTCTTTCTCCACCTCTGCCGTGCTAGTCGGAATGGAAACTAGCTTTGCTAGTAGGTCCATCAGATTTTTGCGGTAAGTAATGGGAAAAGAGCCAGATCTCATATGCTTTCGCAACACGGGAAGGAAATAATGCATACTTTTTGGGCCTTGTCGAACTCTGGCTTCACCTCCTCTGGCATACGTCCTGTTAGCTGATTAGAAAGCTGCTCAACTTCTTCTTTAACAGCATCTGCGGAATAGCCGAAAAAAGGAAGTACTATGCTGCGCGTTGGTTTTTTTTCAATATCATAGGTCATATTGTCACAAGGCGAATAACTTTTAAAAGCATAAAGCTCAGATTTGGGTTCGCACTCCAGCCGGGATCTAAGCGCAGTAACTATGCTTTGTACTAACACCTTCCTTTTGTTCATATCCATGTTTGTGAATTTAGCAGCCTTAAATTCTTCAGCAACCTGAAAATCAGTAATGGACTTCCTGGACATTTCCTCATTGAAACTAGACAATCTGCTTGGATTCCTTATGCAGAAAATCAGAGAGTTTCGCTCAATTGCCAACTCTGTATCGATGTCGACAACATTTTCGTTAACGTAAGATTCTCCTTCTGCCTCGCTGTTGAACTGGAACACATGCGAGTCATCTACGATTTTGTGAAGTATTCTGCCTGCCGTTTCCTCTTCAAGCTGCCAACCTTTCCAAAACATTGAGGGATATTTTAGTAACATGTTATTCTTCTGAATGTCTTAGAGTTTTTAATTCATTGAAACCAACCATTCTCTACAAATTAGGTAAGGTGAGTCTAGAGCGTTTTCACGAAACTGACCTTCTTCAGCACTAGGTTTACAGAGTATAGATTCCAGAAATGGGCGGGTTTTTGTGTGAAGGTGTGGAAATTCACCAATCTCCCATAGTTTTTTGAGCGTGTGCTAACAATGATGGCATAACTGTCAATCAAAAGCGCATTTTTAACCAAAAAACATAAACATATAACAACGATAAACACGCTTAAATAGACGCGTTCGCTCACGTTCCCGTTAGTGCTGATAACGATGTCAATCCACAGCACATTTTTTACTATTAACTTGCTCCACCTCGCTCTTATTAGGTCGTCCAGAAAGTTTTTGCACATGAATTTCAAAATTCATAACTTCTGATTTTTCCAACCGATTAGACTGCTTTTTTTGTATGAAAGGGTAAGTCATGCTCTTTATAATGACATCTCAGCTGCTTAGTAATGGTCATCTGTGCATAGATAGGAGCGATAGAAGAAAAATGGTAAAAATTTTGATTTTTAGTGTAAGGTCATAAAAAATCGGAGACTTGCAACAAAAATCGGAGCATTCAGTACTGTAGGTTCTTTCAGCAGCTCTCTCTAACAGTGCAAAGTTGGCGCCGATTGAGCGTCTCCATGAAAAGTTATGATTTCCCTGAAAAATGCCAAAATAAATCAAATTCGCCTTTTTGTACTGCTTGCTCGGAAATTATAACTTTTCATGGAGACGCTCAATCGGAGCAAACTTTGCACTGTTAGAAAGAGCTGGTGAAAAAACCTAAAATACCGACTGCTCCGATTTTGTTGCAAGTTTCTGATTTTTTATGACCCTACACAAAAATTTAAATTTTGAGTGATTTTGTTTTGAGCTTCTATCTATGCAACAGATGACCACTACTAAGCAGCTGGGATGTCATTATAAAGAGCATGACTTACCCTTTCACATAAAAGTGAAAGCAGTCAAATCGGTTGGAAAAATCAGAATTATGAATTTTTGAAAATTGTGCGCAAAAACTTTCGGGAC